TCAGGAATTTCTTCACCTCTAGGGGCTTGTGTCCTTGCAGGGATTGTAAACTCTTTTGGAGTTAGTTTAGAAATGTGAAATTGTCAATTATTCCAGTATTGTTAATATTGGCACCTATTTGATTCTTTGCCTTTTGTTTCCTAGGAACAGTATCCTTGGCTCCAACAGGCCAACCACACTTCTGGCGTGTAACAGATGAATCGATCACTACCCATATGGATTGTTTATTGGTAACATCAATCCTTGCTGGTGTATTGACAACAGGAATGTATGATCTCGTTATTTTTGCTACATCTATAAATGCATCAGGCATTTGGTTGGCAATATTTTGCAAATGAGTTATTCTTTGCATTTCAATTTTAGATTGAGATGTGTGAGTTTCTACATGAGACATAGAATTCACTTTCCAAGAAAGTTTAGGCCTTACTTTAAGAGGCTTTACCTTTTTCCCTAAAGATGGGAATATTGTCTAATCAAAATGGCAATCCACAAAACGTGCAGTAAACAAGTCGGCCATCAGGGGCTCAAGATATCTAATGATAGATGGTGAGTCATAGCCAACATATATTCCCAAACGACATTGGGGTCCCATTTTGGTGCATTAAGGAGGTGCAATTGGAACTTGAATAGCACAACCAAAAGTTCTTAAATGGGATATATTAGGCTAATGTCCAAATACAAGATGTATTAGAGAGTATTGATGATATGCAGTGGGTCTTAGGCGAATTAACGCCGCAGCATGTAAAACAACATGAGTCTAGGCAGAAGTCAATAATTGTGTATGTAATAGCAAAGTTCTTGCAATTAATTGTATACGTTTTATAAAGGACTCCGCCACACCATTCTAGGTATGTACATGTAGTACTGGGTGCTCAACATCAATTTCCATTGCTGTACAATAATCATCAAATGTCTTCGAGGTAAACTCACTACCATTGTTCAAACGAATTGGGTTTAATTGAATAATTTGGAAAGTGTGCCTGTAATCTGATAATTTGTGTCAGCAATCTAGCAAAGGCAATATTACGAGTAGATAGTAGACAAATATGTGACCATCATGCCGATGCTTCAATTAGTACCATAAAATAGTGGAATGGTCCACTTGGTGGATGAATAGGTCCACATATATCCCCTTGAATTCTTTGAAAAAATGATGGGGATCCTACACCAACTTTAGTGATGGATGGCTTAAGTGCCAATTTGTCTTGTAAGCAAGCAATACAAGCACTCTTATTAGGTGACAGAATCTTCAGGTTCTCTAATGGGTGCCTATGTGAGTTTTCTATGATCGTACGCATCATAGTAGATCTTGGGTGACCAAGACGATCGTGCCAAATTTTAAAAAGTTCAGGATTAGTGAACTTCTGGTTCATAACTATATAGACTTCAACATTCTTCAAGAATGTGTAATATAACCCTGATGAGAAAGCAGAGAGTTTCTCCAATACATGCTTTTGGCATGAAATATTAGCAATGATGCATAAAAATTCTCCATCCTTTTCACTTAAAGTTTCATGTGGTATCCAGTAATGAGTCGTATATCTTTGAAGCTAAGCAAATTTCTTCTGGATTTGCTAGAATATGAAGCCTCATGGATACGTAATTTCGTTTGCTTGGTAACAAGATTGTTGCTCTTTTTGAGCCCTCAATTATGGTTGCAAATCTTGATATATGGTATATATTTTAGCCTCAGTAAAGGTCAAACTTGAGAAATATTTTCTATCTCCAAGGATGGTGTGCATTATTGCATTGTTTACTACACAAATGTCTCTACTATTATTAGATATCGATGTCTTAATTTCAAAGTTTATCCTAAAAAAATATTTACATTAGTAAGGATGTTTACAGAACTTCATATTCATGATATGGAACTTCATGTCCAATTTTTGTACTTGTTTTACAAACTTTATGTTTGTAATTAGTATTTAGAACTTGAAGTTCTAAAACGATATTTATTTATGGAATTTCAATTTCATTTATCAAATATAAGATGGAAACATAATTACTAATATTAGTTATCAAAAATATAATAAAATCATATCTAGCTATAAAGGTTATTGTTAGGATAGACTAAAAATGAGCTCTACTCATTCAGCTCATGCAGTTCGTTCATGCAGTTTGTTTTAATAAAAGCAGAGTCTGTTTTACTCTGCTGACTTACCGTGTAAACTTTGACTTACTTTGTTTAATGTTCACCCTATATAAGTGAACTCTTGTAAAATATCTCCGTAAGTAAGAAGAGTAAAGTTTAGTTCACATGTTTTACACTCTACTTAAATTTTCCTGTTAGGTTTCTTTTCTCCGCACTTCTACTTTCGCAACTTGGTATCAGTTTTATTGATAATAGAAGTGGCACCAGTAAAGGTTACATTACTAGGTTCAACAAAACCATTACAAGCATTATAAAACTAACTCTTAGCAGGAGTACAAGATGAAGTACATTCATTGTGAACTGAAGATAACTTAGGTAGTTTATTCATAGGATTACTAGGATCCTTATTGGAATAACAAGGAAATGAAGCAAGACAGTGACTTGGCATGGAATTGAAGGATGAAACGAAAATTGCAGTAGACTTAGGAGTAGAGCAAGTTGAACTGTGAAGCTGATACAGGCCAGACTTAAGTGTTCCTTGGAGAAGAATGGCTTGGGAAGACTTGTCCTTTACCACACAATGATCAGTGAAAAACTCAATAAAGACATCATTATCTCTAGTTAATTTAGAGACACCAAGTAAATTTTTGGTGATATGAGGAACAAATAAGACATTTTTAAGATGCAACACTTTATTATCACAAGATAAAACTGCAGAACCAGTATGTGTAATTGAAAGCAACTCACCATTTCCCACCTAAAGCTGCTTACTGCCCATGTAGCTAGAACTTGAAGTCAATTGGGAAAAATCAGAGGTAACATGGTCTGTTGCACCAGAATCCATGTACCAAGCAGTGTCTTGAACTGAGGATGGAGTAGCAATGTAATTGATTGCTACAGGAGGTCGACTGTGATTCTGTGACTGAGCCATGAAGGCTTGATTATGCATTTGTGAAGTACCAGAATTAGTGTCCAAACTTCCTAAAGAATGACCCGCAGTTGAGGGAGACTGTGATTGAAAATTATTTTGAAGCTGCATTGAGGGGATTATATTGACACTCTGTGAGTAGTGTTGAGAAGGAAAAGAAGCATAATGTCCTCCATAGTTAGGGTTAGGTGGTCTTCAAAATACTTCAGGATTAAAGTTGCTCCTAATTAGAGAGTTGTTCCCAGTAAAATTCACATTGAAACGATGATAACAGTTTAACGCCAAGTGACTTGTTTTCCCACAAACTTGGCATATGAATCTATTTCTACCTCCTGCACGACCTCTGCCTCTGCCATCCAGAAAAATGTGCTGTGAAAAATTGAGTTTGCTGGGGTGTGTATATAGGTGAACTCTGTGTATTTGGGAAATAGGATGAACTAAGACTTAGAGACTGTGATATCGGTGAGGATTGGTTGTTAAATTGAGTAACACTACCCTGAAGTTGGGATGAAGTCTGTCCAGGCTGGAATTTTTTTGTATCATTATCAGTAGACAAATTAGCAATATTTGCTGAGCTACTATGAAATTCAGCATGTACCATAGAATTCATTGCACTATTTGCCTTTTCCAACCATAATTCAAACTTCTGCAAAACAATTTGTGCTTCTTGAACTGTTATAGGATCAACTCCGGATTCAAGCCTAGTGGTAACATTTACTACTGCTACATCATATTCAGAATCAAGTCCGTCTAATATGTAGTTTATTAGTTCATCATCAGTAATAACAACTCCACTTGTAGACAAAATTTCAGCATATCCTTTCATCTTTAGAAAATAGTCATGCATACTCATACTTTCTTTCTTTGTATTTTGCAGGAGACTTCTAACATGTAGTGTCGTTGCTCTAGACTCAGTTAAAAACTCATTCTCTAGAGTAAGCCAGATATCATTGGCAGTTTGACATTTCGAAATTACAGAGAACATTGCCTCCGAAATTGAAGACAATAACCAGCTCATTAACAATTTATCTGTTTTCTTCCAAAGAGTAAACTCTGAGTTAGGTTTTGTTGTTACCTCTGAATTTGAGTTGTCCAATTGAACTCTGACGAACGGAGCTGGACACAATATAAGTCTCGTTAGGTATTCTTCGAGATCATGAGCTCCCACGGAAAAAAGAATTTGCGACTTCCAAAATCGGCACTAATCATTTATCAGTTTCTATGCAGTTTGAATATGATGCTTTGCTGTCTAATAAAACCTGGGAACTTCTTCCTGCCTCATCCGAGATACAACCAATTGGGTGTAAGTGGGTTTTTAAAATCAAAACCAATCCTGATGGCTCTATTCAACGGTTTAAGGCCAGACTGATGGCTAAAGGATTCTAACAGACCCCTGGTATTGATTATCTTGAAACTTTCAGTCCTGTGGTGAAGTCTCCCACTGTTAGAGTTATACTAAGCTTGGCTGTGAGTTATTGCTGGGATATACAAAAGTGGACATTAATAATGTTTTCTTGAATGGTGACCTTACCGAAAAAGTTTATATGGTTCAGCCTGAGGGTTTTGTGAGTCCTCGTCATCCTCATCATGTATATATGTCGACTTACCAAGGCTTTGTATGGTCTGAAACAGGCACCAAGGGCCTGGTTTGATAAATGAAAGAAAGCATTTCTTGGTTGGGGTTTCAGTCATTCCTTGGCAGATCCGAGTCTGTTTATTTACAAAAAGGATGAGAAGATAATGTATGTATTGGTGTATGTTGATGACATATTACTCACCGGTAATGATTTCAACTTGGTTCAACAAACTGTCACTGATCTGAATAATCAATTTGCTTTAAAAGCATTAGGTTCACTCAAATACTTCCTAGGTTTTGAGGTGACAAGAAGAAAGTCAGGTCTTCATATGACACAGGAAAAATATGCCAAAGACTTGCTGATTAAAACTAACATGCTTGACAGCAAACCTTGCTGAACTCTAATGGCAATTGGGACCAAACTTAATCTTGAAGATAGTGAACCATTTGAAAATTCAGCCCTCTATAGGAGTACAGTTGGTGCATTACAATATTTGACAATATCCAAACCAAATATTTCTTATGTTGTGAATAAGTTAAGTCAATTTTTGAAAGCCCCCACTCAGCTACATTGGCAAGCCTGTAAACGATTGCTTAGATATCTCAAGGGAACTTCATATTATGGTCTTCAGTTTAGCCCCAGTCACATACTTAATTTGACATGCTATACAGATATGGATTGGGCTAATAGTATTCCAGACAGGAGATCAACTAGTGGATGTTGTGTTTTTATGGGAAACAATCTGATACAGTGGTATTCAAGGAAGCAAAAGGTTGTCGCTTTATCATCCACAGAAGCAGAGTATAGGGCTCTTGCACAAGGGTCAACTAAACTTGCTTGATTTAGCAACCTATTTTCTGAAATTGGTCTCATTCTTCCTGAAGTTCCTGTCCTCTGGTGTGATAATCAAAGTGCAGGTTCTCTTGCTTGTAATCCAGTTTTTCATGGAAGGACTAAGCACATTGAGTTGGATGCACATTATGTGCAAGAACAAGTCACAAATAATAGACTTAAAGTGCAATATGTTCCCACTGAGTATTAAAAGGCTGACATTTTCACCAAAGCACTTTCACTGTCCAGATTTGTAATCCTATAGGAGAAACTGACTGTTACACCCTCTGCTGAAGTTTGTGAAACTGCATAGTTGATTCTGATGGAATTTCATTTTAGTCATGATTTGATTACTTCTTGGTTACTGATTAGTTACTAATGATAATCTGAAGTTTTAATTTTGGTTTATTTGCTGAATGGTTCTTTGATGACTAGTTGTTTGTTGAAATTTGATTGGTGATAATCTGAAGTTTTGGTTGGTTCTTTGGTGGTGTTTACTGGAAACTTAATAATCTGAAGTTTTGGCTAGTTCTTTGATGCTGGTTGCTAGAAATTTGATTGGTGATAATCTGAAGTTTTAGTTGGTTCTGTTCTGGCTGGAAAATGATGCAGCATGGTTAATCAGTTGATTGATAATAGGCAACTTCAATTGGTTCTGTTTTGGCTGGAAAATGATGCAGCATGGTTAAGTCAGTTGATTGATAATAGGCTGCTGTTTTGGCGTTTTGGCTTAAAAGATGATTGATAATAGGCTACTGTTTTGTTGACTGGAATTGTGATTTTTGCTTATGCTTCAGATTCAGATTTCAGTAACTGGAATTGTGGAACTGGTTCAGTTTTAGATTACTGGAATTGTGAGTTTCTGCTTCAGGTTCTGTTGACTGGAGTTACATGTGCTGTTAGGTTATATCACTTGAGGAAGTTCAGCTTGAGGGAAGATGTTAGGATTTAGTTTTGGACTTGGTGAACTTAGCTGACTATGTCTGACTAAAAGTCACAGGAAGTTTTGTTTATGGAAGGATGTTAGGATAGACTAAAAATGAGCTCTACTCATTCAGCTCATGCAATTCGTTCATGCAGTTTGTTTTAATAAAAGCAGAGTCTGTTTTACTCTGCTGACTTACCGTGTAAACTTTGACTTACTTGGTTTACTGTTCACCCTATATAAGTGAACTCTTGTAAAATATCTCAGTAAGTAAGAAAAGTAAAGTTTAGTTCACATGTTTTACACTCTACTTAAATTTTCCTGTTAGGTTTCTTTTCTTTGCAATTCTACTTTCGCAACTATTATATTCAACGAGAATAAACATATCCGACCATGAAGGCATTATTCAATAATAATAAATAGGTCCAACCATGAAGGCGGTATTTTAACAATGATAAATAGATCCGTCCATAGAGGTGAAGTTTAACAATAATAAATAGATTCGACCATAAAGGTGGAATTTAGCAATAATAAATAAATCTGACCATAGAGGCAGAATTTAACAGTATTAAGTAGATCCGACCATAAAGGCGGAATTTAACAATAATAAGTAGATCTAACCATAAAGGCGGAATTTAACAATAATAAGTACATCTAACCATAAACGTGGAATTTAATAGCAATAAATAAATCCAACCATGGAGGCAAAAACAGGGATTAAATAACACTTATAGGTTGGGAAATACGGTAGTTGGCGTGTACCGTTACACTTGTTAAGCTCTACGTGTTGATAACGTGTTAAAATTTTAGTGGTGCGAGTGTGATACACTAGAAGGACTAAATATGTAGAAAATAAAGATGAAGGAGGAGCTACAATATTTCTTTACTTTCTCAAAATGATTGTTGCGTAAAAACGAAGGGGAGTGGGTTATTTATAGCCAACTCCCCTCCCCCCATTCACCGCCTCAAGGTTAAAGTGGTGCATGGATGGACATATAATTTACAACAATATATCCTTTTTTTTATTGATACAATTGTGTTTTCCAATCACGGATTAGCGATATCATTTTATAACTTTCCATCGTATCAATGTATAATTAATATTTAAAGAATTTCCCGTTTATATTATTATGAGTTCAATTAATCCATAAAAAAATAGAAAAAAACTTTAATCATAATAGCACAGATGAAAAAAAAAAAACTTTATTAATAAAAATTAATTTAAACATAAAAAACTAAACTTATTGTGTGGGCACTAAAGATGGGTGTTTACCCCCTTTTTCAGGGGACTCGACCCACCCACCTCGTATGGGGCGGGGATTCCTCGGAAAAATCGAGGACAAGGACCGGGACCAGAAAATTTTTCGTCCTTGAGGACGAAGAGAGATGTCTCGCCGGCCCGCCCTACCTAACCCGACCAAAATAGTGAAACGGATCAACCCAAATTTTCTATCCAAATTCTCTGAAGTTGGCCAAAACCCGTACCCAAATTACGCTTAAACCACCCATTTTCAACATATCCATTAAAATATAAGTTTAATCAAATCATTTCAAAAATAACTTAACATGTTTCTTATACATATATGCAAAATACTCAAAATTTTAGATTTCAAACAACTTTGAAATGTCAATATCCCAACGTTATATTGTTATCAAATGACAACCACCAATTACCTGTTACTTTATCGTACAAAACAGAATCGGTCTACATTGAATAATATTTTTATTTTAAAAGATTGCATTTTTGTGTAAACAGTAATTATTCTTTACCTTAAATACAAAAGGCGCGGTTGCATATTGCTGTCCATCCCTGATTGATCTCTTAGGATAAGGTTGACCAAGGTGATATGTAGGATTTACTAACAGACCCTGGGCACATGGTATATGCGTGGATGTAACAAAAATAATACCGCAACCACCAATTACTGCCCATCCAACTTGTTATTAATAACCATTTAAAGATAACCTTATAACATGCAAGAATAATAAAAAAGTCATTCGTTTTTATTTAAAAAGACAAAAAAAGAATACATTGTCTTATTTAAATGATGTATCATTCAAATTACTTAGTCTCAGTTTCCAATATGCCACCAGGTCCTCCAAAGGTAAAAGTCTGCCCAAGAACGCCACCTTGATTACCAAATGTTTTGGCATCATAACAAGCTCTATAATCAACAAATATATCCAGATCAATTTCTTGCATATTAATCAATTGACCACTTCCAACCATAGCTTTCAATTGTGCAAAGAAACATGATCTCTTGTACTGGTCAAAGATTATAAAAAATATATAAAATTTGATCTTACTGTCTAATATGCAATTACTCGTTTCTGATTGTCACCATATATATGTGGATGCACCTAAAATATTATCAAACTTTATTATTATAGTTATAAAGTTAAATTAGAGATAAAACTTACGTATGGGTGAAAGAATCTTACTGCCCATCCAACTTGTATACTGTTGCATTCAGTTGGTGGTCTATCTTCTAGCCACAATTGAGCCTTGCTAATTTGGAAAATTTTAACCTCTGGATTTTGCAAGTCTATTATTGTGCTTGGTTCATTTTATATTGACAATTAAATAATTTAACGTGATGGCCAACTAACATGAGCGCCAAGTTCTGTACTTGTAAGTGGGTGAATGCTATTTTTCCCAATGAGTCCATGATGTAATTTAGAGAGCGATCTTAAACCAGTCTGCTCGTAATCAACTTTGTTTCTTTGGATTGGAACCTTTTCTGCTGGACTACCTTTACTTCGCCCTCCAAACATTGAATGTTTACTAAATGAAACTTCGTTGTTGCTTTTGAATTTAGGAAAGGAACTTGGCTTCATCTGCATATTAAATGTTTTTTAATTTCCTTAATGAATTTGTTTTATCTACTAGTGACACTATTAGGGTGATGGCTTCATACAGTGACGTTTTATCATTAAGTGAGACGACGTCATTTTGAGCCAAGTAAATATTAATCTTGTCCGTTGGCTGGCTGAGTATCCAACGGTGGCAAATCAGCTGATAGTCAACAGTATAAAAGCAGTGTAACAGTCTCTTCTCAAATAGTTGAACCCTTTTTTTCGTGTTTTCTCTTTTTCTCTGTAAAACGAATAGCCTCCTTTAGGGTTTGGGTATTGTCTTGATTGTGAATCTTGTAACAGGGTGTTTGAGTGGCTGGTTTGCAGGCCACTTGAGGGTACTAGAGTTTGCAGTGTATCTTGGGTGTTAGATCTATATCTCTAGGGTGTTACGAGTTCTGTAAAGATCTGGGAAAGGGTTTAATTCTTTGGTCGAGTTGTGTTCTGTAATCTTGATCAATATAGTGCAGCGAGCTCGCTGGTTTCCCGAGCTCAACGTGGATGTAGCTTGCTCATATCCGAGCAAGTGAACCATGGTAAATCTTGGTGTTGTGTGTGTGAATCTGTTTTGTGGTTTTTGTGTTTGCTTTCTGGTTGATCTATTGCGAGTAGGTATAACAGTGGTATCAGAGCCATTTCTCGAAGATTAGGGTTTTTTTATGAAAATTAGGGTTTGCAAATTTGGGGATTTTGCAAAATTAGGGTTTCGTGAAATTAGGGTTTCTGAAAATTTGGGGTTTTTTGAATCTGTGATTCCTTGAGTCTCCAATAGGATCTAGGGAGTCAAATCTAGGCTAAGTTTAAAGCTATAAAGGCTGGAAACCAGTAACCGCCTTAAAAACTGCTTGGCAGTACTTAGCAACATTTGGTGTAACAACGCCACGTACCTCTTAGTCTTTTCTTTCCTATCGTTTCAGAAAAAATGAGTACTACTCGTATGGAGATCTCCCAATATGATGGGAAGATTGATTTCGGGAGTTGGAAGAAGAAGATGAAAGCTCTCCTCTCACACAACAAGGTTGCAATTGCACTGGAAGAAGACATCAAGAAATGGCCAGAGGAAAAACTGACGAAGAAGGAGGAAGTTAATGAAGAGGCTTACAATCTGATCGTTCTGAATTTGTCAGACAGTGTCCTCAGAAAGGTAGATGGTATCAAATCACCACTAGAACTATGGAGTAAACTCAATACTTTGTATGCTTTACAATCTGCCCCTAATTTAGCTTTCTTGAAGGGTACTTTATTTTCTTACAAAATGGATAGTTCTAGGAGTATAGAGGACAACTTAGACAAATTTATTAAAATGACTCTAATCCTAAAAGGAACAGATTAAGAATTAGGTAGCACTAGCCTTGCTATGATCCTCTTGAACTCACTGCCTGATGACTACCAAGTAGTCAAAAATGTGTTACAGTACACTGGTACTGTACCAACCCTAGATCTAATATTTGTAGGTCTTAAGGCTAGGGAGTTAGAGTTGAAAGTTCAGAAAAGGAGTGGGTCTAACCTATTTGTTAAAACAAAAATGGAGTCTAGTCAGACAGGGAGAAACAATTCTGTGAATCAGGGGAATAGGAACAAGAAAAAGTGGAAGGGTAATAACAAGAGTAAAGAAGCTAGAAAATGTTTTTTTTGTAATAAGGCTGGCCATATTAAAAAGAACTATTTTGAATGGATCAAGAAACAAAAACAAGGGAACACAGAGACAAACCTAGCCACCAGTACAAACGTAGTAGATGAACTTGAGGTGCTTACAGTGTCAATGTCTGACACTGCCAATGAGTGGGTACTGGACTCAGGATGCTCTTTCCGTATGAGTCCAAACAGAAATTGGTTCCAGGAGTTTGAGGATATTGACTCAGAAACTGTTTACATGGGGAGCAATAATGCATGTAGGGGTAGAGGTATTGGCTCTATAACTCTAAGTCTTAACATTGGAAAATTGGTTTAACTTACAAGAGTCAGGTATATCCTAGAACTAAAAAGAAATCTAATATCACTAGGCACCCTAGATGAATCAGGCTGTAGTTATAAGGCAAAGAATGGAAGCTTAAACATATATAAAAATAGGAACCTTATCCTGACAGGAGAGAAAAAGAATGGGCTTTACATACTCTATGGGAACATATCCTCTAACTGTTTGAACTCTGTGATTAAGCCTGCCAACCTAT